AGTTTTGTTAATCTTGATTTGATACTTTGCCATAGCCTTGTTTTTTTTTTGCCACAGCCATGCCACAGTCTTGTTAACCTTATTGCTTTTGCCATAGCCTTGTTTACTCTTACATTGATACTTTGCCTCAGTCATGTTAATTTTCCTTTTTACTTTGTTCATAGTTTTTGCCACAGCCTTGTTTTGAACTTTGTCTTGACATCCACTCTTTTGAGTGTTTTTTATTACAATAAAACCCCTGGAACTAACCCTCTCCGCGACTGAGTCCTCCCTCCAAGATCCCACCTTTTTGACAAAAAGATAGTTTGTACTAATGAGAAAGTTGGGTGCAGGGAGTATTGTGTTGATTAAAAAGAAAAGAAAAGTATAGTGGAAAGATTGAAATTGGATGTGATAAGTCTATCTATCTGTGAAGGGAATGTTTCTAATTCAGTCTTATTTACAGCCAGGTGAAGATTTCTTCTTGCAGAACAAAATTTCAGAGATCCGAACTTCAGGTTTTTAAATGAAAGGACTTATTTTGACAGCTCTGATTTTCATCTTTATGGAACAACGACAGCTCCACAGTTGTTGATTCACAAGCCAAAATGGAGCTCATTGCTTCAATTCCATTTAGTTTATTTTCTTTATAGCATAAGCTCAGAGTCTAATAGACTATTAGATTACACAAAGACCTATGTGTGTAATTTTGGAAACGTAAAATTACGAATTTATCACTAGTTGATTGTTCATCTAAATAAACACAGGAGTTATTGTAGTTAATCAAGCCACAAGGACGGGCGACTTTATTTCATCAGTTTAAATGTGGAAGAAATGCCATTTGCAACATTTCCATTTAATTTTGTGAAAAGGATCTTGTAGAATCAAAACATTAGTCTCAGAGACAAGTTGAAGATACCCTTCTAAGAGCAGAAAAAAGAGAACGTAATTACAAAAACAGGGACAAAAGCAAATGAGCAAATTTGGCACTTTCTGACAGAGAATACTGCTCCGGTTATAGCGAAAACACATGAAAGGATAGAAGACAGCAGCTGTGGGTTACTGTTGGATCCTGGGTAAAGTAAATCTAAACCCTTCGCTATTCCCAGCCAAGAGCTGGACACTCTGCAGGTGGTCGGCGCATTATAGTCCAAGCACATTATGAAAAAAGGGACTTCAGAAGAGCAGAAAACTGAACGCTCACGAGATCTAAACAGAAGCATCAAAGATTGAGAAAAAGGAAAAGAATTAAGACAAGAAGGGAATTCAAACATGGCCGTGGATCACTGGGATTACGAACAGATTGCAGATGGAAGCAACAGAGCCGATTGGACGGCAGTTCCTACTGTAGACAGCCAATAACCCCAAAAGTCACCGTGGATGAAAGCTGAGACTTATTCATGAAAACACTAATTGAGTTGCATTTCATTTGCTGAAGACATTATAACAAATTAGCATCATCTGAGGATTTGATGGTCGACAACTAGAAAAGAATCACATTCACATTTCAAATATTCAAATCCTGTAAGATGATGTGCAGCAAAAGTGTAGGAAATTATTCTATCTATAATTTTGTTGATGTATGCTGAAGCCTTAAAAAAAGATTTTCGGAGGAGATATTATTCACCTACAAATGGAATTTGCAAGTCAGCTTAATAATTAAATATGTGAAGATATAACTGTAACTGTTATGTACAAGAATATGCTTAAAAAATTGGATATACATGGATATACAGAGATATACATGGATATATACGCTGAGTTACTGGAAAGATAAAAAACAAAAACTAAAAAGCTGTATCATTGAAAGCTTATGCAGCCCTCTCCAGATTTAGTCTTGATCAGTGCAATGGCCCTGCAGGAAAGTGTGACTGAATTAATGAAGAGAAGGTCTGAGCTTATCTAAAATAGCGTCGTAGTTTAGGCTCTCATGGACATTTAATTAGGTGGAACATTTTATATGTATATTGGATACTGTGAGCATGTGTTTAGTTTGAATACTGTCTCCCAGGCGTTATATATATGGGTTAACGGCATACCTGAAAGGTTTTCCCAGACCAAAGTGTTTTGTAAAAGACAATTAAATACACTTCAGGTTCAAACAACAGCATAAAGTTATGTAGAAAATGGACAAAATCAGAACACAATGGTTTGCAAATCTCATAAAGTAGGGTTTCTTTCACAATAGCCTGCAGTTGGTGGGTGTTCAGAAAGGAAGTTTTTCCTTGCCTGTGTCGCCTAGTGCTTGCTCATGGTGGGAATTGTTGGGTTTCTGTAGTTAACTTCAGAGTAGGGTCTGACCTGCTCTGTTTGGAAAGCGCTGTGAGACAACTGTTGTTGTGATGTGGCGCTATATAAATAAGATTGAATTGAATTGAATTGTTCGGTGTTCAGAGATGTCTCTTCATCCACATTTCTGGACGATTTATTTGCGACTCTGCCTCCTTAAGGTGCTCTTTTGGACTTTGACGCTTTGTGACCGACCTGTTGTCGAATTGATTGCGTCATCTTAACCTTTGACCTCATCCGTTTCATCACTCTTAGATTTTAAAATCAATCTCTCCCCCCTCTCTCCCTTTCTAAAGGATCTCTCTCCTGTCCACTACCCTTCCCTCCCCCCTATCCCTCTGTCAGGTTCGGCATTATTGGACATATGGAAGTTTGGTAACAAAAATGAATAAATAAAGAAGTTTTAGGTAACCAAGGGGGGCTTCTTACTAAAAAAGCCTCCCTTGGCAAAGCAATTTTGCTCAGCGTAGCACGGTACGCAGATTTCAGTTCTACTACCATAATGCTGAACAGGACAAGGTAAAAAAAAATATATATAGATATAAATAAAAATAAATAAATAAATAAATAAAATCAATACGCCGCGCCAATCTTTTCCCTTCTCCGGAGTTCCGAGGGTGACGTTACCTGAGGCCCCAGGCCTCGGTGCATCAGGTTCAGCTGGTTGGTCTCCATGTTCCGCAGAAAACGGGAGACCGGCACGGCCCTGAACGTCTCGCACGCCATCAGGTATCGCGCCCTCGCCATCCGCCCGCGTGCCTCTTCCTCCCCTGAAAAATAAGATTTAGACTTAGACTTAGACTTCCTTTATTGTCATTATACAAAAAACACACGGTGAATCTTGACAACGAAATGTCGATGACTTGGCTACCAGTGTGACAGAGCTAAGACCTTATTCTTACACAATAAATATGTTTTCTATAACTAAGAGCTATATATACAGTGGGGGAAATAAGTATTTGACCCCTTGCTGATTTTGCAGGTTTGCCCACTTACAAAGAATGCAACGATCTATAACTTTAATCATATGTACATGCTAACAGTGAAAAACAGAATCCCAAAGAAAATTCCAGAAAATCACATCATATGAATTTATAAAAATTGATAACCATCTTATGAGGAAAAATAAGCATTCTTTGTAAGTGGGCAAACCTGCAAAATCAGCAAGGGGTCAAATACTTATTTCCCCCACTGTATATACAGGGTAAGAGCATATATATATATATATACATATTATTGCACAGAGTTATTAGAAAAGAAACATCAATGAATATTGCGCTGAGTTGATTGCAAAAAGAAACAATTGAGTTGAAGACAAAGCTAAACGAAGGTGCGAGTATTGTCCATGTCCATGGGGGGAGGTTTTAATGTGTGTGTGTGTGTGTGTGGGGGGGGGGAGAGGTCTGGAAGAAGATCCTTTTCAGCTCTGAAAAGTCCCCTGGTGGCTGATTTTGCCCGGTCAGGAGAGATGGTTTTTTGCTTTTGCCGAAAAGGAAGCCTGACACAAAAGGCTGAAAAAAGATGAAATCATTTCCATGCTGAACGGGATTCTGCGTATGTGGGCGAGCGCACGGAAGGGTTTCTGTTTTTTTTTTTCTTCTTCTTATGAAATCATTTAGATTGAGATATTGAAAGGAGAGAAGGATCAGATGGAGGTGATGGGGGGGCTTCTCCTTGTCATTATATGCTCTGATAAAGATCAAATCAAGACACTCGGACTCTGTTAATCTCTTTTTTCTTTTTTTTCCCCATCATCAGTTATACCTCCGAGCTCCAAATCTGTGTCAGATTCCTCGTCGGACGTCACACTCTCCTCTTCCTCCACCTCTTCCCTCTCTTCCTCTCGCATGCTTCTGTCAGGGCTTGAGTGTTGGTCTTTTGGCCCACGCACACCAACCTCTGTCTGGATCAATCTTTGCTGGGAGAAAAAAAAAAAACTCGAGAGAGCAAGAAAATCGTGATTCCTCAAATCTTTTTGAGTTTTTTGGGCAGTCTGACTGGGGAGATTTTACGGAGAATAAAAACTGACACTTGCACTTATAATAATGGATAATTTTAACACCATTGTTCACATACACATCAGTCAGACAAGCCAGAAATGATCATCTGGACTAAATGGGCTTCTAAAAATATCATAATTTGTCATGTGAGCAGTAACGTTTTAAAGATATGCAGATGTTGTAGTGCATCTCTTAAATTTCTCATGGAGTGTGCAGATCTGTAACTGGACTGCGTAAAAAAAATGCAATTAAATGACATCAAAGGTGAGGGACCGGTTTTGCCCGGTTGAAAAGATTGGCGAGAGACAACAGGTCATCTTTTTTTTTTTTTTTTTTTTTTATATGTTCTTTTAACATTGTAATCTTGGTTTTGCAAAAGGACTGGGGCTGTAACAAACATATTAGTTTTTTCCTTTGTTCCTGCTTTTAACTGTGTTTTCACCTTTTTAAAAAAAATTTGAAATTTTTTTTTTATGCTGTTCTTTTATTTAAAATGTCTTGTCCTAATGTAAAGCACATCAATTGAGTTGCCGCTTGGTATGAATTGCGCTATATAAATAAAAATGCCTTGCCTTGCCTTAAGAGAAACCAAAAGGCTGGTTTTGACTCTTTATGTCTGAGCTTTTGTTTCCTTTGCCCCGGGCGAGGAAAGTGCTCAGATGTGCCTGGAGATGGTCGTTCTAACCTCCATTTTCTAAAAGCCATTGTTCTCCAGCAGGTCCCTAACATGCTTTGAAAACTCACTTAAAACTCCCCTCTCCATTGTCTTATCAGTATATATAAATCTATCACCCCTTGTGTCGTAGCGGGCCTGGTTGTTTACGCTTTCTTCTCAAAAGTTTTCATGACCCAAGATCCATGACCTTTAACCCTTTCACGCACAAATTATGATCATTTCAGTTGGTATTTTTTTCCAAAGTGTTTTTGATTATCTTAAGGCAAAACAAAAATGTATATTCACATTGTTGTTTTTTTTAATCATAAATGTTCTTATTGAAGGTTTTTTTTTCCACATGCAAGCGGATGGCTTACGTTTTAACTTGTCTTGCTAATAAAATAATGTTTGTTGCTATGAGAACATATTTAGACATTTTGACACAGAATGCATAATCATAAACCTTCGCTTTGCTCTAAATCAGCTCCTCCTTAATAGTGTGTTATTGTGGACATTTTCTTATCTTTAGACAGAAAAAGAGACGACAGAAAACCCCACATCTACAAAGGAAAATGGCTTTTAGAACGCTGTCCACTCTAGTGACCGCTATGCGTTAAAGGGTTAACGCTGTGAAATGACCAGATTGAGACAAAAAGGCACTTTTCCCCCCTCCTCCCTGGGTTTTTACAAAAAATATCTCACCTACTTATCTTCTTATCTGGAGTTATGATCTGATCCTCTGGACTCAAACAGGGTGTTGAGCAGTATGTGTTAATGTCTAAGTTGTGAAGGAGGGTCAAATCTAAACGGTGCGTTTAATAGGCTGTTTCTTCTCTGCCCGAAGTTTAGCACCAATCACAGTCTTTGCCTAAGGTTTGGATGGCTTGCTTTGTTGACTGGTTGCCATGGTGCCCCCTCGACATCTCACTTCTCAGTCCTGGGCATTGTTGGGCTTCTGGAAATAACTTCAGAGTACGGTCTGACCTGCTCTGTTTGGAAAGTGAGATAACTGTTGCTGTGATTTGGGGCTATATAAATACAACTGAACTGAGTTTAATTGAATTCTAACTGCCATGAAGACCAGTACTTCCAGAGGCAGAAAAAAGGAGGAAGGAAGGAAGTAAATAGCTTATTTAGAGGGAATTCTTAAATACACAAATCCTGGCCTTTAAACTAAAATGCATCTCATATAAACCTTTTCCAGTTAAGTCTCTCTCTGGCACGAACACGATAACAACAACCCAAAAAAAGAACACGCCAATGAGTTTACACGTTCTGTAAATGTTTATCTTTATTTGTTAGTAAATGCAAAGTGGTTGCAGATGATGCATTAAAATGGAATATCCTCGATCAAGTAAACAACAAAAAGGTCATCGTAGCGGTGGCTGATTGGATCAGAGTTGTCGGTAGCAGCAGAAATGCGCAAAAACACAGAGAGAGAGAGAGAGAAACCCCACGAGAATGTAGTTGCCACCCAAAGCCCTTTTGAGAAAGGCCAGCCAACCACACAGAACTGCCTCACGCTTTAAATATTAACAGAAGATCACCATGCATTTAGGCAATGCTGCTTATTCATCCCCCATACCATAAAGGATACGAGAGGCATTTTTATAGAATACACTTTTTTCCATCTTTTTTTTTTTTTCTAAATCAAGCATAATCATAAGTGCTCTTTTACATAATCAAAATACATTCTTAGAAAAAAAAATTGTAGTGTTCTTTATAGTCATACTATATATATATATCTATATATATCTATGTATATATATATATATTTATAAATAAGCTTTGTCTACACGGTAAAATCCAATGGATTAGCATCACTTAGAAAAAGCATGCAAACATATTGCTTTAAAAATGCTAATTTATGGAGAATAAGATATTTAAATGCGAATCATAACTTCCCAATATAGTTACCCTCACTTTGGACTTGGTGTATAACACTTGTTATGTAGTTTGTTTACTCCTTGCTAGCATGTACCAAGTTAGTTAGTTGCATTTTCTATGATGGAATACGATTTCTATATCTATATTTTGACAGCAATTTGTTGTCATGCTTTTTCTATGTAATGTGGAGCAATTGGATTTTAAAGTGGAAATCATATCACGTATCAATTATTTTCCTGATGCACAGTTTACATCACAAAGACTTTTGTTTGACGGCTCTCATTCCAGTGAAACTCAAAAAAGTTCAAACAAGCTTTTAAAAGAGGAGACATTCATCCAGAAAAAACAAAGAATGGGACCGTGAGAATCACCCAAAAAAAAGGAGAAAAATGTCAAAGGTAAAAAAAAAAAGAAACAGCAAAAAACTGAAATCACGTGATCATGCTGACAGTTATCCTTTTTTCATTTGAGACTAAATACAAAGACAACACAGAACTCAGAAGTTAATAAGTCACATGTCGATGCCGAACAGGTGACCGGAAAAAAGCCCCTGGATAAAAAAAAAAGTCTAATTTACGACTCTTACTTATTGGAAAGCAGCACATGAGCACAGTGGCAGTGATTCCTCATCGGGGAGAAAAAAAGAGACCAACTTAAAAGCAACGTTTCTTCACCTCTGAGCTGAAAACCATGTGGGCAGCTTCCTGCTAAAATCTGTAACCTCAAATTTAACAGGCCTGTGTGACTCAGAGCAAAAGATCTATTTAGTTTTTTTGTGTTTTTTTTATATCTGACCAAGTCACTTGACAACAAGCAGGTTGAAGAAAAACGAAAAACACACACCTGAGATCATGCACGTTTACACCCACTCTTAGATGGTTTCAGGGGCATGCACACACACGCGCACACACACACGCACACACACACACACACACACACACACCACCGGGCAGGCGTCGGTTCACAGTGAAGGGTTTGCCGCGTGAGCCACAGGATAACACGAAAACATGCAGAGAGATAACCCCGAAAAGAACGAACGTACCAAATGTTGGCAAAGGTTTAATGTAAGGCAAGAGGCAGACCAGATAGGAAATGCAAATTTTAAAAGCTCCAACCGGTGATGAATGAACAAGTTGACAGCTGTCGGATACGATCTGGCCAGCGTTTGCTTTTCTTAAAGGGCCCTTGGCATACGTTTCCAGTTTTCCCCCCCCCCCCCCGGCTTGTCTCATCTGCAGCGTTAAAACAACCGAATCGTCACTTTAAACATCACTCAAAGCTAACGGAAAGAGGAGGTGTACACATGTGAAGGTATTTTTTTATGAAGTAGGAATTATTCTGACGCGGTATTCGTTAACCCTCTTCTTACTGAGGAACCATTTGACAATATCAGAGCATGTGTTTTTGGTTTTGGGACAAACTTAAATCTTTTGAGTCCCACAAATGACGACAATTTTGGATCAGAGGATGCACTTTTTCTGTCTGTGACCGGAAATGGTCACTCGAATGTTTGAAATCTGTAGCTAAAAGTGATGTTGACAGTTTTATGAACAAGATCCCGTACAAAACAAGCTTTTGCAGGGACACTGGAGCTTAAAGTTGAAGCCACTCCCAACCTAAAAGGGCAGGAATCTGAACTGCAAATGGTGAGTCAAACTGTTCTCTCTGCAGTTTTGTAGGCATTGGACACATAAACAGACTTAAGTTTAAATCAAATGGTTAGAGTGAGAGATAAGGCAGGTATAGGGGCAAGCTGCATTTTGCTTTTATAAAGGATTGCAGAAGACATCTCTGCGAATCTTTTTGTTTTTTGTAGAAGAATACGAGTCAACCTGCCATAATCTTTGTTGTTTCACTGCTTTTCCTGATATTCAGGATCCCATTCCAGCTCAAATGCATGCAGCTGGATCCAATATGTTACTACTCTTGAAAAGATGGTGGTTTCTAAGGGACTAAATCATTTGACCAGCTTTTATTCACACCAGTAAAGCTTAGATAGAAACCTTTACATATGTATACTCTGTAATTTGATAGACCTAAACAATTCCAAATTTCACTGCATAAATACTGACTTTCATTTAAGCTGATCAGCATGGGCGAAGCAGCTTTTTTTCCAACAGAAAAACATCAGGAATCAGTGCATTTAAATAAAACTGCCATGTTCTTCTGCAATTAACTAATTCATTTGCCAATAGGTCACAATAAAATAGTTTTATCAAAACGTATCCCCTAGCTGTCATGTTTAAGTTTAACCAAACAGTTCCTGACAAGATCCCGGAAAGCAAAAAACTGGGAAAAAAAAATTCTGAGCTCATTTATAAATGACATATCAAAAAAACAAACATGATGAAAGCCGGATGGTTTAAAGTAAGTGAGCAAAAATATATGCCCCGGAATTTTGCGCAACACGGCAAAGGCCTCAAAAGCATCAGAAAGAACACCCAAAAAAAAAAGAAAAAAAAAAAGAAAAACGCCTCCATGAAAATGTGACAAGAAACAAGCAGAATTCCCCCAAAAAATTCCTTTTAAGCGTGCTATTGATTTAATCATCTATAATTCATGAAAGACCTTTCCATAGAAAAGCTGCCCTCCGTTAGAATGGAATGATTCGAGAAAAACATTGTACCATTGTGCACACATTAACATTTAAAAGTCCAAGAGAGCGGAAAACTTGAAATATTTCCTTTGTGCACAGCCTCAATTTTAGTTTGAATGGATCCAAATTGAGTTTCTCATCCAACAGGTTTTCCAAACAGCAGCTGGATCACATATGTTTCCTTTGTTATAACAGAATGGACATTCGGGCTGATGCCTTTTTGAAGGATTGCCAATTTGGGGTAGATAATATGTTAAATGAAGCTCTAACAGGATTTTTTGTCCAGGCCTGGCAACATGCTAAATTGCTTTGGATAATATCAGTTTTACTCTGTATGTCTGAAAATCTCACTCTCACCTAAAATGACAAAAAAACAAAACAAATAAATAAATTAAAGACAAATAATAGATTAAACAGTCCCCGTGTTTCCTCCTTTTTCTTTTGATTTAACCATCACAGAAATACCAGTTTGTCATCAACGGGCACACGTTTCCCTGCAAATATATAACTTCAATAAAAGCCTTGAAACTGCAACAATAACACAGAGTATATTATATTTTTCTTGAGTATATTCTTGTCTTTGTCATGCATTCACAATGAGGCAGGTCATTACACTAGGTGCACACATCATGAATCATAAAGATCAATTCTAAATTTTTGGAAGTATCATCGACAAGCAAAAAACAGAGTCTCAGAGAACGGAACATTTTCCAACTTGCTACAGACGAAGTTGCAGAGCCCAACAGAAACAAAAAAAATGGTATAAAAAAAAAACAAACCGAGACAGAAATAAACTTTTTTCTTATCTTTTTTTTTTTCTCGTAACAGTACAAAAATTGGCACAGTATTCTTTAACCAGCGCTGCCGTGTCCCTTGAGGCTGGTCGTTTCCGGAAAAATCCCAACCAAATCCGTCGGCCTACGAGCAGAAAACCCTGGGAGAGAGGAAAGACAAAAGGAGGGGGAATAAAGACAGATGGACGGAGAGGAAAAGAGAGAGACACAAAAACATGAGATGTTACAGTCATTACTCATCGAGCAAGCAGGGGCTTTGACGGCCAAATGTGAAACTCAAGTGACAATCCACACAGGAACCATAGTCTGTGATGCATTATGTTGATACTTAATGAGCCGTGGTGGCTATGTAGGGCTCTTCTTTTTGCTCTCACGGCAAGAGTATATGAAGTGTGTAATCTTGAATATGCACAAATGATGTCAGAAACAAAAACAGAAATGGAACAGAGCCACTCGCTTTCCCCCCTCTAATCCTGTTAGTTTAAAAGGCCTCTCTCTCAGATTGGTTTCTATGGTAACCTCCTCTGTTTTCCTCCTAAAAGTAGGGGGGGAAAACACGCCGTAGCCAAACAACTACAGGTTCCCCCAGTGAAGTTGACTCGCTAATGTCTGAGAAAAAAAAGGAAAAAAAGGAGAAAAAAAAGAGAAAAAAAAGAAAAAAAGAAGAAAAAAAAAGG